CATGGCTTTCCCGGTGCTCCATGGCTTTCCCAGCAGAGGGTGCTCCGTGCCCGAGGAAGCCGCCCTTCACAGCTGCCCTGCCCGCATTTGTGCCTTTTAAAGCCTTTCTACAGCGAGGAGGAGATGTTTCCTCCAGGTCTTGTGGCTAGACCGTGCTGCGTGTGTCCGTGCGCCCCAAATGTGGGGGAATCCCGGTACTGCCAGAGCTGGGGATGCTTGGTGTGAATGGCCATCATTTACATTTCAGCAGGGACTGTCCCAACTACAACCCCAGCGAGCCGAAGGGCAGCTGCAATGGGTAGGGAGAAATGCAGCTGGTTTTTATTTTACAGTCATAAAGTGAAAGCAAAGAGACATTCTCTGTCTGAGGGGCAGAAAGAAATCGTGGAAAACCCCCTTTGCTTTGCATTGCAAGGAAACTGAACTTCCCAAGTTACATCAGAGTTTAATCTCTCCTCCCGGTAACTCATATCTGCCATTTAAATGGTGATTTAAAAATTATTTTATTTTTTGCCCCCTGGAATCTCTTTTCCATTTTTTTTTTTATTATTATTTTTTATTTTTTATTTTTATTTTTTTTTGTGTTGTGCCAAAAAGTTTTCTCAGGTGTCTGTGGACACTTACTGAAACTCACTGCTGGGCTTCCCCTCTTTGCTTTCCATTCACCACTTAGCAACAGCCAGCAAGGCTGAGACTGCATTTCTTGGTCTGAAAGGCTTCCTGCTATACACTTGTAGGGAATCAGCAGCCTTTTTGGGCACAGAGGCTGAGTCAGGTGTGGAAATACATTCACATCCTACTATTTAATGCAATTCCACGGGGCAATTAGTTGGGGGATTTATATGAAGCTTCCCGTAATTTAGGAAAACCCACACTACCATGAATGTGAGAAAAAACCATTCTCTTTTTCTTTACGCTAGCAGTAGGATTGCCTGAAAAAGGCAATCCAGATTTTTTTCCCACCAATACCTTGAACAACATTTCCTTGGGCTCCCTTTTTCTCCTCACAGGACACAAACCCTTTGGAGATATTCTTTTAGGTTAATAAACATCCTCCTCTTCAGCCTTCCCACATTCCTCCCACTTCCAAATTTTGCAAAGTATTGTCTTGTGTGACCATGACCCGTGGGCACTGATGTGATGGTTCCCCCCCTTGTTCCTCCTCATGCCTGCCTTGTGGGAATGTGAACTTTGCAAAGTGATGGCAAACACCGCCTCATTTGGCCAGGGATGTTTTTACACTGTGAGGAAAGGAAGAGCGGAGAGGAAACCTTATCCCTCTTCTTGTTTGGAAACTTGCATATGACATCTGTGTGTTTTGTAAGCAAATTCGGGCCCATCTCTCAGCAGAAATGTGGAAGCAGTTGGAGGAGGAACAAAGCTCCCTGGTCCCAGAGCATCGTGTAATATGGAAAGCCTCTGGTCTTTGGGAAGGATGGTCCTGAGAGCAGGGCTGCCAGGCTGCTGGCTGGGGATGCATTGCACTGAGGACAAGGATTCTTTGAAATCAACCCAAAAAGTCAAGGGTGGGAGTGGGTATTTGTGAATAAACTGTGGGTTCTGCAAGTGGCCTCTTTTCCATCATATCTCTGGGTTCCCAGAGCTCCTCTCTGTGCCCGTGGAGAACCTTGGCTGCCCAGTTTCCTTTGAGGGTTGGGCACACACCCCATCACCCACCCACAGGGCTATCTTGCTCTCAAGGATGAGGTTCAGCACTCTAGTGCATGAGCTGGAGCCTATGTGTAAGCATCAGATCCTTCAGTCTTATGGTCATTCCCAAATTTGGCCAACTCAGCTGCTTTCTGGTGGGATTTGGGATTTTCTTCACTCTAGCTCCTGCCAGATGTGGGTGACCCAATCTGCCCAGCACCCTGAGTCCATCTTCTCCAGTTCTTACAGCGCTGCCACTGCTAGCAGTGGATTTGGAAGGTGGACATCTGTCCTTGTGCATTGGACAGGGAGCACCAGGCTGGCTTTGGGAGGCAGGGAAAAGCCAAAGGCTGGAAGGACTGTCCCACACAGCAGCATCCTGGGACTGAGAAGCACTGGACCAGAAATAGTTATGCAATGTGGAAAGGAAGGGAAAGCAAGTTCCCATTGCACCCAAGGAGTGGAGCAGGTAGGACAATGTTTGGAGTGGTTGTACAGCTCTGGCGCTTCCTGTTTTCCCGCGGGCAGGAGCTGTGATTGTCACTTCTTATTCAGCTCCTCATCCTGGGAGGAAGACAGTATCGGGCTGTCCAGGGGCAGCAGGATGTTTATGTGGCAGGCTGAGTCAAGGTGCTGCTTTTAATACACCCTAGAGCAGAGTCATTGGGGGAAATGTACATTTTAGATTTCTTTTTTTTATTTAGAAAAGGCTCATGAACATCCAAAGTGCTTTGCAATTACCATCAAGCTGTGTGGCCGAATGCCAGAGCTGAGTGTCATTGTTTTCTAAGGCTATTACACAAGGATATACAGGGTGCCATGAACTATTGGTAATTTAGGGAGGATTCAGGTAATTAGTGATGCTCTATTGAGAGGGCTCTGCTTATTTACTGCATAAGCTGTTAAATTTTGCACTGTCTCAGCTAGGCCCACATCAACCAGAGCACCTAATGGTGGAGGAGAGAGGATGCAGCCTCTGCCATGTGCCCATCCAGAGGAGCCCTCTCTCCGTGTTTTATTAAGGATAAGGACATTTTCCTGGAGGGGGGAATCAAGGGACTCAACATTTTAAAAAGTGTGGGGATTGCAGCCGTTATCTCTCTGCAGTAGCAGATGAGAATCCCATGGGAAAAAATAGCCTGTGTCTGGATCTATGTATGCAGGGGAAGGATGCTCATGGGACTAGTGGCCATCACATCCATCCCATCACTTGCCATGAGACCAGCAGCCATCCATCCCATCGTCTCCATCCCATCACCTACCATGGGACCAGAAGCCATCGCCTCCGTCCCAGCATCTCCTGATGGAACTTTGTGGTGCCACCTGAAATCACAGGATCTTTTACCACGGAGTGTTTCTCCAACCAGATCTGAGTCTTGCTTTGTGTCCCAAGCGCCTCCTCACCTTCCTCTCTCTTTAGCACTGCATGGGAGAAACCCAAAGTACTCCCAGACAAACTAGGCAGTGCCCGTGCATGTGTGGTAATTTAGAAAATCCAGTCCTTCAGCTTTCAGCTTTTTTCAAATCTCATTGATTTTTTAATGTGAATTTTTATTTCATATAGACAGCTCTGCTCTTTGGACTATTCTTCCCTTTGGGACCTGAGTAAGGAGAGGGATCCTGAAAGAGCCCTCAGGAGCCACTTAAACACCCCACCAACATGGGGACACAGCCTCTGCTCAGCCCCCGACTTCACAGAGGTGGGAAAGTTTTCACTTGAGTGGCCACAGTGGCATTGCTGAGGGCAGCACAGAGGAGCTTGGCATCTGAAACATCTCAAAATCTTCTGAAATAGAGCTGGTGAAAAACGGGATGGTGGGAAGAAAACCTCTGTTGTAAAACATCACTCACTGGAACCAGACTTTGATCTCCTGCTGCAGTCCCTGATGGGAAAGGGAGGTGTGGGCTGGGAGGAGACAGGCAAAGGAAAGGGGATCTGGAATTTGGGGTTGTGTCTCCCATGGGTCCTCTTTTCCTGAGCCACAGCTCTCTCACTGCAAAATGGCTTCCCCAGGCTTCACACCCCATGCCTTCCCTGTTTTTTGGGGGGGAGAGAAGCACTTTTGCTTTGTTTACAGCAGCATCTTCCCCTTTTTGTATCATTTTTTGTGCTGCCTGATCAGGTGAGGAAAGCTCTCACCCATGTCTGTTGCTGGACATGGGGGAATGGATTCTCAGGCAGCTTGTGACCCAGGGACTGGCTTTTGCTGATGCTCCTGAGAGCTGAACTTGTCTGGGGGTGCACCTAGACATCTGCCCAGTGTTCCTGGCCTCTCTCAAGGGAATGCTGCCCCATGACACTGCAGGCTATCACTTTTCCTTGGTTGCTGGCTGTTTTCATTATTTATACAGCAACTCTTTAAATATTCAGAGGTCTCTTGACTGGTTCTTCAGTGACTT